ATCCTACTTTTCCAAGTAATTTTTGCATCTTTGGTTCTTGACAGAAATCTACATGCTTACATCTCGGAATGGGAATTCATCAGCTTCCAGCATATGGATCACATGCCCGATCTTCGGCCTTTTCTGAGCATTTGGATCCACACACCTTAGAGCTACTAAAAGGGCGCGCTTCAATGCTCTTGAAGACGGCTTCTCTGGCAATCTAGGATCCAGGACGCCCTCTGCATTCCTATTCGTCACCATCGTTTTAAGCCACTCAACGAGGTTCACCTGAAACACATTAATCCCCCTAGTTAATGCCATTTACAGCAACAATCAATCAAATCTAGTTGAATGAAAAACTAATTAACCTCTCCTGGCGGGCGACTGTAATCAACCGGGTTCCTTCCAGATATGACTTCCATGAGAAGGATTCCGAAACTGTACACATCGCTTCTCTCGTTCAACATCCCTGTACTAGCATACTCCGGAGCCACATACCTGGGGGAGAACAACATAAACCTGATCACGCTAACCCACAATGGAGAGGACAAAAGGAAGTTGCAGAGCAAGAGAACAGCGAGGATGCACTATACTAACCCGAATGTCCCCATTACTCGAGTCGTCACATAACTGCTCTCAGATCCCAGAAGCTTTGCCAAACCGAAGTCGGAAACTTTCGGATTCCACTGCTTATCGAGCAAAATGTTGCTAGATTTTATATCGCGATGAACCACCTTTGGCTCGAGCCCCTCGTGCAAGTATGTTAGCCTAGGGTACACAAAGTTCTTAGAATTTGACTAGAAAAGAGAAACATCATGTTGAAAATCAGTCAATTTTATTTACCCTTTGGCAGTCCCAGTGATTATATTCATGCGAATCTCCCATGTGAGAGGGCTGCAAGGGCCAACATCACCATGAAGCCATTGCTCCAAGTTGCCATTATCAACATACTCATAAACAAGCATCCTAAACAAACACCAAAAGAAGAGAACACCCCCATTGATCACCTTAAGACAGAATCCTGATTTTCAGCCATGAAATTGAGAGTTCATTGACTTACCTATGAGCACCTTCAGCACAATAACCTAGCAACCTCACCAAATTCTTATGCCGCACCCTTCCAATTGCTTCCACTTCAACTTTAAACTCCTTCTCGGCTTGACCCCTAAAGGAACACCCAAAAAGCCACAAACTTTAAGCATCCAGAACAAAAAAACAAGGTAGGAAAAACTTAAACCAGACAATCCCCTCCTCCTTCTGCATGCAGATGAAAAGGGCACTCCTGATTTGCACTAAAGTTCCCAACTTTACCTGTTGTTGAGCAGATTCTTGACTGCGACAGTGGTTTTATCTTCAAAAACTCCACGGTAAACAATCCCATACCCACCTTCCCCAATCACATTCTCGTCGGCAAATTCATTAGTAGACAACTCCAGCTCCCTCAGAGTATACCAATGTCCCCAACCCAAATGTGAAACCTCCGGCACCGTCATCGCACCCTGGTCGCCGGACCGGGGACCCGACCGCGTCTCCCCGCTCCCGTGACCCGACCCGTAAGAAATCCGGTGGTCCTTCCCAATCTCGAACTGAATTCTGTTGCGGGAGTCAGAGGAAACAGAGCCCTGCTGCTGTTGCTGATACGGAACCGGGTTTGGATCCGGGTCGGGCTTCGGATTCAACCCGGGAGGAGGAGCATGAGGAGAAGGGGCCGGGTCGACCCGGATCTCGGTTATCTCCTTGGAGACATTTGGGATAATCTGGTTGTTGATGGGTGAGGACTTAAATTGAGAAACAGAGGAAGGGAGACCATTACTACTAGTATTAGCGTTGTTGGTTCTTCTGTTGCGCTTTGATGTGAACCAGAGCGAGATTAGGAAGAGGAAAACAACTATGGCGGCTCCCACGCAGATACCCACCACGACCCACAATCGCAAACCGAAGATTGAAGTCTTCTTCGATAGCTCATTGTTCAGAAACGAACCGCTCGACATTTTACTCTGTTTTTCCCCCCTTCCTTTTCTTCAACCTCTGTCTTCTCTTGAGACAGAAATTTCTGCCAAGAAAATGGAAGGGAGGGGAAGGCAAAAGAGACAGAAAGTGGGCGTGTTGCAGAACTGAGACACTGATTGAAAAGAAAGCGTTGTTTGTGTACAGAATGAAGTAGGTGGGCCGCTCTGTGAAGGAGAGGGAGCAAGCTGGTGTGAATGGGACCTTGTGGACTATGGTAGTGATTGAAAATTAAAATGGATTATTATCATGAGAAGAAGAAGAAAGCAAAGAATTGATTACGAAATGGTTGAATCTTGTTAGTCATTAAGACACTAATGCTGGCAGTCGGCTACTGTAATTAATGGGGAATGGAAGGAATCTCAAGCGACCACTTGGATATTGATTGTGAATTTAATGGTGTGATTAAGGAATTGGGTTTGATTGTCTTGTTCAGTGGGCCGCTCTTTGGGGATCTGGAGCTGGTGGTGGCTTCTTTCTTTGGTATTTTAGAAGAAGATTTTTGGCTTTAGGGTAGGGTTTGGTTTTGACGTTGAATTTTGCTTTTTGGGATGCGTCTTTGGGGCCTTGTTTGTATATTGTAGTGGGGAAGAGGATATCAATGGTGTCTATGGTGGAAGGACGCGGCAAAAGCTAATTCATGATTAAGATGAGAATCGTATAAATGGATTAAGAAGTTAGGGAATTAGTTGCTTTTTGGCTTTTGTCTCAAACTCATTTGGTCTAACATGGTGGAGGTCATTTATATATCATAATGTTTAGTAAAAGGAATCGGTACATGTTTAATATATGATTTTCGGTGTTTTGGATTACGATTTTCGGTGTTTTTGTGACAAATTAAATTTATTTGTGCGAATTTAGTATAAGAGAGCTAAATCATCTTTACTTAACATTTTGCTTAAACTTGATTGAGTTACTCATAAGTGATGTTAAGAACTACTTGATCTCAACAAGTTGAATTGTTCAACATGATCAAAAACAGTCTAGGAGGTTGAAGTTTATATAGGCTCGCTATACTACCTTCTTCATTCCACGATTACTATTAATGATGAATTCATGAGAATTGGAACATGATTCGTCCAAGATACTCTAATACCACTTTAGAACTAGTTGTTCTCGACAACTTGTCTGATCAGGAAAATGTCTCAATATAAATCTTATAACATCATTTTCTTACAGGCGGGATGGTCTCTTAACTTCAAAAATATAGTCTAAGAATAATCATAAGTTACTTGCGAATTTTATAAACAAATGGATTGATAATTCATTTACCTCCACATACTTGGCATTTGAAGTATGAATGCCTTATTATTATTACTCCACTTAATAGAAAAATAAGCATTGCTTATAGTCATAGAGGTCAATATGTAGGTGTAGAAATATCATCTTTGGACAACCGACATGAACATTACGCGCTAATCATGATTAAAAAACGATTTACTCGTTAAGAGTTTAACACAATTACGCATATGTTTTGATGATTTTGAGGTTTTATGGGGGATTCTTCGGCCGTGGCAAAGCTGACAGAGCCATTTACTTAAACCACAGACAAGATGTCCGCAATTAATTCCACATGTGAGTTGTGACTGACATTTGCGATCATATGTTGCACCATGAGAACATATGCCAGCAAAGGTGGCGAACCATCAATATATATGGGCCGTCTTGTTTGTTGTCTTCTGGGCCCAATCGTCGATACATCACTATGTATCCAACAAAGGCCCTTCCATGTTCCAAGTGTAGGAAGGGTCCATTTTTTTATGTTGGCGACTTTGACCCACTAGCAATTACGACTATGTGGAGGAAAATGGTTGGACTTTATAGTTCCTACATTCCACGATTGATTCGGAGACGGCTGACTTAGAGTTGGCACATGTAGAGATTGTAAATTTTGCATACAATTGGTAGTTTGATCATTCTGAGCTACCCAGCCGTTGTTAGGCTCATGATTAAGGTCAGTGCGGAATTGATGAAATGGCGGAACGTTTTGTTTGAATTCGATTTTTTGTTCTTTTTTTTTACCATAGAGAATACTACATTTGACAAGGTTACGATCCATTCATTTCATTTCCAATATTAAGAGAGGTTTCAAAAAAGTGTCAAAGATTCTAACCCGCTTGTTGGGAAGATCGAGAGTCAAAACCAACATTACGAGTGATCCAACCTGGTTTTCATTGTGTTTTGCTAGGCGGCAAAAAACACGAGACAATGGAAGAAATGATAGTGTAGTGCCACCATGGCCGAATGTTCAAGCTGACCTTCGATGACCATGTAGTATGACGATCAAATTAACCGATTTTCAATTCTGATTCTTGTCCTATCTCAATTCATACAGTGTTGCCCGCAATTTCTCGTCTACAGCAAACTAGTTTCTAATATGTTAATTATAAAAAAAAAAAATCGTGGATAACATATATAACCATCCTATTAGTACAAATAGTTTCTTGACCTAGTTAAGAAAGAGGCAAAGACACTCTCGTCCTACCTTTAATCCAACTACACTAATTACATATTTTTCCTTAGAATTATACTAGCAAATAACCACAGATTTCTCACTTGGGTTGAAGCAGAAAATATGGAAGCTAGAATAACAAAAGAAGTGGAATGAAAAATCAATCAAATATAATGAAATCATAATCTGAAAATTTTGGAACAACTCTAGCACCAACCGTTAAAAAAAAAACAAGGGCGTTCTACCACTCATAGCAAAGGAAAAACACATAGTTACAAGAGCTAGGATTTAACCAATAGAATCTTCTTTGTCTAGATATTATACATCAGACACAGAACATAACACTCAAAAAGTCAAAATAATCACACCCACATTTGCATGTCTATATTATGATTATGAATGAAACTTCAGCATCTACGAACCAACACTACTGCATCTCATCCTTTTGCCCCCTATCTAGGTTTATATAGTATAGCACGTCAATCCTTTGCGGGACTTGATCCCTTGCGACACATATGGAATCAATGGTGGTAGATCGAGCTAGCTTGAATTCTCATCCTCAGCACGATAACAACCACAAGTTCATCTCTCCAGCTGCGAGCTTGAACGTATCTTCCACCGACAACGACGACTCTGGAAACTGCCCGCAGCTACCTCCACCTGCCTACAAAATTTCAAACACAAAATCCAGCCCACGTAGATTCAGATGTTAGAACCTGAAGATCTTATATCGCATACTAACTAGCTATATATTTATATATAGTGACATCTACGATATTCTCTGTGTTTCTAATTAATGTGCATGTTGTCGTGACTGTTTCAATGGATCGAGCAATAGAAGGCATCGACAGAACGAGAGAGAAAATGAAAGCAAGAAAGGAAACAAGACACACGATGTGTGTAATTAAGTTAGTCCATTGACAGCGAGACCTCATGACTTCCATCCGTCACCAGATAGTCTGATTCAAATCGTATCAACACATGCAATACTCACATGGGAGTGAATCATGTAGGTGCAACGATGGGGGCCCGAGGAGATATGAGCAGAGACAACATCCAAGCCGTGCTTCTCCAGTATATGCAAGATGGTAGCAAGCAGCCCTTGCTTCTTCGCCGAACAAATACAGATTTGGGCATCTTCCCCCCACATGTTGAGCACCACGTTGGGAGAAAACCACGTCTGGAAACCTGACGGTGGAGTACTTGTAGTGATCATCGACGGCGGAGGGAAGGGCTTCGACGGCCCTTGAGAAGCCATGAATGCTTCCCTCGTACAAGATTGATCGGCTGCTACTGCAAATGGTAGCTGTGGTGTTGCGGCTTGTGATGTGGTGATCACTGAAACTGCAGACGGCTCGCTGTCGAGGTTTAGGAGTCCTTGGAGTTTTTCGAGCTTCTGCTTCTCGAGGGCTTGGAGGGTTTGGTGGAGGGTCTTGATGTAGCTTATTGCCTCGTCCACAATGGTCGACTTGTCCGCCTGTGGAAAAAAAAAAAGTAGAGTATGTGAAATTTTGCTAAAAAGAATATATGTGGTTCACTAACACAATTTGTGTTGGTTAATTTATGTACAGTAGGGACCAATTTCGCTATAACTAGGAAGATACAAATTACATTTGAGAAGATGTTTATATCACCTTGTTCATACGACCTACCCTTAATCCAACCTGTAAAGTAAAAGGTTACAGACCAGATAGCACCCCATGACTTTCTATCGACGACAAATAATTCAAGTCATAGCAACAATGAACTTTTTTGGTGTACACCATACCAGAAAAGTTATATACTATAGTAGGGTTATTTTATATTAAAACTATGATTGAATCGTGAATGATCCGTTCATACCACTAAAATCATCTACTGTTTGAAGTCCAATATCCAATATTTTCGGTCCAAACAGCCTCTATGATAAAATTTCTAAAAAACATTGTTTTTTTCCTTTTGAAGACAGTCACAGTCACTTTCAATTCATCGGAGTCGCGACCCTGCAGACTGTAGGGCTGGCTATTTGGTCCCGGACTGTTTGGTTTTACCCAAAACCGGACCGTATAACCCGGACCAGGACCGGACCGGGACCAGACTGGGACCGGATAGCAAACAATGCAATCTCATATTCGGGCTTAGGTTTGAGGTAAAAAATCGGATAAAGACCGAATAAGAGACCCCCAACACCTAAAATCAAGATAAAATTGGGATCGGACCGGATCAAGACCGGACTGCATTCAGTCCAATCTTTGGTCCTTATATTCCCAAAAAGACCGGACTAGGACCGAATTAATTTGGTCCAATTTAACCGGACCGTATAGCCACCACTAGCAGACTGGATCTTGTAGAAAAGACTCATTTCTCTTTATAGCTAACAGAACAAACAAGAACATTCAAGACCAAGTAATTAATTTCCAAAAGTGAGAGACAAAACAGAAGCCAAAAGTGTCCACCCGTAAAAATGGGCATGCAAACAAAAGCTATCTCTCCTAGTTCTTGGACCTTAGTGCACCTTATTACACACCTACTCTGGAACATCATTCCTTCTGCGAATTCAGTTCCAATTCAGGGTGGCAGGCTGGCAGCAGCCTCAAAGTAACCGCCATGGACTGATTCGCAAGAGCCTTGATCACAAGACGCAAAACTACCCACCAACAAATATACTCTTACCATTCACCACAAGAAACAACACTTTTTGCCACGGAAAAAAATACTCGTGGCCAAACCTCATAGTTACCTTGGAAGGGAGTTGAGGGAGCAAGGCCTGAAGATTGGTGAACATCGTCCTCATCCTCTTCCTCCTCTCCCTTTCCGTCCATATATGAACCTGTTGCTCCGACTGATCCCCTTCGCCGCCGCCGCCTTCTTTCACAACACCCTTGCCGCGATTTTTCAGAGAGGAACTACCTCTCTTGTTGTTTTGAGCCACCTTGAGCGCTGCCGCCGGTGTGTCGACAAGGGTGGTAGAGCTGGAGTTACGAGACTTCATTTTTTTTGTGAAGAGAAAGGGTTGGTGGTGGAATGGAAAGCGAAGGGAGAAAGTGGAGGAGGAGAAGAAATGAAGGGGAAGACAAAGAGGAAAGGTGACAAGCTATGGCTAAGAAGAAAGGATGTTAAGAAAGCGACCAAAATACAATCATGAGGGGATGCCGTTATTTAGCTTCAGAACAAAAAACGTAAAACCGACGAAGGGAAGCGCGTCATTTTTCTCTTCAAGATTTTGCCTCAGGAATGGGTCCACATTCCTATTAATTTTCTTTCCTTTTTTCCCCTTTCTTTGGATTGTGCTTCTTTAGTCCTCCTACTTATCCTTAATCTCCAAATTGAGTCCTTCCGTCATTCTTTAAATGCATTTTGGTCACCAAAATGACTCTTGCTAGTACATAAAAATTAAGAATGGACTTCAACATTATCCCAAAAAAAAAAAAAGATTAGAATGGACTCCAGTCAATGAGTCAAATTGAAATGATCAGTTGGGGGAGAGTCAAGCTTCTTTGCTATGAAATTATATGCATGCATGGTCAAGTAGAAGAATTAACTAAGGAAAGTAATTAAATGATTAATTACTCTATCCAGCTGTGATTTAACTGAAATATACGTTACATTTTAAATTCAAAAGTTGAAATCATTTAAATTTTGGAGGTGTTGAAGAAAATTGATAAGACTTAATATTCTTATATACTAACTTTGTTGACCGTTGAACTATAACATTTCAATTTTTTGAATGGTGAATGTCGTTCGAAATCAAATTGATGAGAAAAATGGGTCTAAATATCAAATTCATTCTGAACTTCCATCCAACATTTTCGATAATAATGTTGGACTTTTGCTACTATTTGGCGGCCGGACTTCCCACTCATATTTTAATTGTCACGCCATCCTCTCTTAATAAATCCATTAAAGTTGCTTGAAAATTTAAACTGGTTTATATATTCGGATCATTTTCTTTTCATCACTTTCCATGGGTTTCATTGGCGTTGAGAAATCTTGTGGACTTGTTTTGGAATTGCGGAAGCAAATCTCCTCACAAACGCCAACATCATATTTGGGCAAATCGGCTTTGGGGCAAAGATGGGCTAATTAGGGTTTCATGGTTGAATGGTTTCTAATGTTCAAACTTCATTCTTAGGCGGTGACAAACTAGATTTTATATGTAGTGACACTTTCTCAATGATATGTGCTTCCTCTGGACTTTTGATATTAATTAAGTTCGCGTTTGGTGTTTCCAATTAGAATTCACTTCTATGTTGTTACATATTGTATCCTCACCAGAATGGCTAGAATGTTGTAGTGGTGAACTCAAAAGATCAAAAAAAAATTTATAAGGGTGATATAGATTTGTATTTCTCATTTTGTGCGTCCTTTTATATTTTTCAAATATAATAATAAATATTTAAAATATGTAATTATAAGTCACTAATGGAGTAATACATTCATGGGGGAAAACAAATGGATACAAGTTTTGTTTTTTATATAAACAACTATAATGTGTTTTTCAATTTTCATATCACGAAAGGATCTAAAAAAGACTTCCATCATTTATACTCTAGAGTATTTATATTTGCATATATCTCATTAAACTTATTGTATTATCAATAAACCTTCTCATATTCTTATATATAAAGTTGAAATAATTTTATTGTTGCCTAGCTAATTACAAATTAGTCACTATAATATTATATTTTAATACCTCTAATTTAATTTTAATGTAAAATTATTGAATAATTATTTTTTTGCAACTAAATTTTATGAGATTTTGGTACCTACAATTTTTTTTAATTTACATATTGGTCCAATGTCTAGATTTCACTTGAATCTATTAATCCAATCCGCCAATCCTTTTGAACCAATCCGTGAATCCAATCCACCATAACATAAAAGTATAAATTTAGTTTGTATCATACAAGATGTTGTATCATTCAATTGTAGGAGAAGATTCGACCATTTTATAATTGCTCATTACGTGAAACATCAAATAAATGATAAAAGAGAGACGACTTTAAAATATTGTAAGAGCGAATTTATAAGCTCATTTAGTACATTTACGGGGTACTAAACAAACTTATACTAACTACATGTAACAAAATATGTGATATCTATAGGGGAGTGCAACGGTTTGGTTCAGTCATGAACACCGCGATCCATTAGTGAAAAGACATCTTAGGACCAAGGACCGGACCATCATAGCATTCGGTCCATTTGGTTCGTTTCGGTCCGGTCTAAACATCAGTTCGGTCCGTCATTTTTTCAGTAATTGCAAAATTCATGTGGACCAAGGACAGACCGTATTATACCCAGTCTGGCCCGGTCTTGGACCGAACCATTGCACACCCCTAGACATCTAAATAAGCAAGTGTCAATAAAGTGTTACGGTGAAAAAGGTTTGACTGGTGTATTGACGACCAACTAAAAGAATTGGTCAAAACCTTTCCATAATCTACTTCCTCTTCGTTTCATTTTTCACTCTCTTTCCATAATCTTTTCTTTATTTCTTTCTTTGCTTTCTTCGTCTAACCCTTATAGTATATTATTTTTATGTATTTCTAATCACAAGTATGAACGAGTCCATACACGACTCACCTATAGTCTAGAGAATTAATAATTGAACAATGAACCACTAATTTTTTCAGCTCAATGTCGAGTCCAAGTAAAAATGAATATATATGGTTATTACTTATTAGAAAATCATCATTTTCCGCTATGGTATTTGAAGGCATAAAATTTTAAGCGAGTTCCAGTTTGTATTCATTTTGCTTCTTTCCAGAGTTTTTCTTTTTCACCCGGTCTAGAATTTTCTACAATTTTACATGGAATGTTTGGTGAGATATCTATACATATCAAATAAATAGTTTCCATTTTACTATAAAAAAGTAAATAATCATCATCATAAATACATCGCCATAAAAGGAATTAAGCCTCAACTATACAAATTAAAGTTCGGTATCTAAACTTAATAGATCTTTAGATTTATAACATAAATTTATTTTTTTGGCATATAAGTCCTCAAATTATATATGAAACATTACATTTTAGTACCTAAAATTCTTGTGCATTACATTTTGGTACCTAAACTTTTGAAGTTCTACAAATAGGTCTAATTTTTGTATGTGTAATTCAAATACCCTCGAATAAATGGGTATCCATACCCAACTCATACACATTTAGATTATGGAAGTAAATATCCACACACTACCCAAACACATCTACAAACTTCCAAACCCATATATGCATCACTCATACCCTACCCATAATCAATGGGCCTACATGGGTTTAGGTAAATATCATTTATTAGCCAAAATTCTCAAAAAAAAATTAAATTAGATATTGACCGCCATATATCTCTTCTTAGTTAACAAAAATTCATTTTAAACTAATAATACTAACAAAACACCATAATGGATAACATAATACATGCCCATACGCCATCTTCCCCGCGCCAAAGCGCGACATCGCCACCTAGTTAAAGTAAAAGTCTAATATTCAAATCTCATACGCACAACTATTAGGAATTAATCATTTTCTCAAATTTTTAGGTGTGTGTCGTGTGACACGCCCAAAACGGCCTGGCTCGATTGCGTATTGGGAACCCCTCTATGGTTAGATCAATCTACTCAATTAGGACGAAAGGTGAGTTCGGGTTTGAGTACTGATTCTCACTTTTAAGAAACATTGAAGATAGTATCCAGTTAGTGAAGTTACTGGTTTGGACATATTGGCCTGGCTCGATTGCGTAATGCCAATAACCTATCTTGGCCTATCGTTGGGTGCCCCCTCGTCATAAGCCACAATATGGAGTGCAACCACCAACAAGTTACAAAAGAAACTTGAAGGGTATCGGAAAATTAGAGAATAAAAAAAATGAAAGTTACTTGGGAAATTCCTCTTAAAACTTCTAGATTGGGGAGGCTAAGAGAGAGTGTGTGAGTGATTAAGTTTGTATAATTTTCCTTGTTGCAATTCATATTATTTAATTTTTTCAGTAACAAGCAAATGAATTTGGCTCCAAAAAATATGTAGCCTCCAAAATTTAAACACAATAGCATTTCAAAAAAATCGCTCGAAATCTGTAATGTTATCCCTTTGTAATTTGTCAAAAATAGACCCGGAAAAAATCAGCCTAAATCGGTGTTTAATAGACTTAATCAATAGTGAAGAATACCATGAGGCCGAATCCATGATTTGTAGGCTTCAGAATCCAAAAAAATGGTCTTTCAAAAAAATCACCTGAAATCTGCGATGGTACCCCTTTTAAAATCCGCCAAAATCGGTGTTTAAAGCTTAATCAATAGTGAATAATAACATGAGACCGAATCCATGACCTGTAGGCTTCAAAATCTAAGAAAAATGGCTTTTCGAAAAAATTGCCTGAAATTTGTGATGGTATCCCTATGGAATCTGCCAAAAATAGACTCGAAAAAAAAATCGGCTCAAATCGTTGTTTAATAGATTTAATCATCGATAAAGAATAGCCTCAGAGCGAATTCGTGATATGTTACCTTCAAAATCCAAGTAAATTTTCTTTCAAAAAAATGGCCCAAAAAATTAAAAAAAAAAATGTCATCTGAAAAATCTGTCAAAGTCGGCAATTAATAGACTTCATCATCGATGGAGAATAGCCTCAAGCCGAATCCGTGATCTGCAACCTTTAAAATCCAAGGAAAATGGTTGGCCTTTGGAATTTGCCAAAAATGGATTCGGAAAAATACGACCAATTCGATGCTTAATTGACTTAATCAACAGTGAAAAATAACCACAGGTCGAATCCGAGATCTGTAGCCTTCAAAATCCAAGGAAAATGTCCTTTCAAAAAAATTGCTCGAAATCTGTGATGGTACGCACCCCTATGGAATCTGCCAAAAATGGACCCGGAAAAATTCGACAATCGATACTTAATAGACTTAATCAATAGTGAAGAATACCATCAGGTTGAATCCATTCTCTATAGCCTTCAATATCCAAGGAAATTGGTCTTTCAAAAGTATTTCTCGA